GTGTCTATCTTTTTTTTTTTCGCTTATGCTGTTGCGCTCAGGCGTTTGTAGCTCCATCTCGCTTTTGTTTCTTTTTTCCGTTCCTGCCATCTCTTTTGTTTGCGCGTGCGCACAAAGTTGTTGTTTGCGCGATTGGTCAGGTTGCTGCGTCCAAAGCAAGGCGGGGGAATCATGCGGCAGACAACTCCCACGACGCCCGGCAAGCCGGCAAAAGAGAAGGTGTCAGTGCCGAAGAAAGCGGCAGTAAAAACGCCAACGAAGACTTCAAGGGGAACGCCAACGAAGATTTCAAGGGAAACGCCCACAAAAGCGGCGAAGAAAACGACAGAGAAAGGGTTGGGGGAGTCGTCAAGCAGCGATGTGTTTTTGAGCCGCCTGGAAAAGCTGAGCCGGAAGGAACGGTGGCGCAAGGTGGTGGAGCTGGGGCGCGCTGCGGGCGCTGAGGGTGCGGCTTCCGATAAGCTGGCGTTGCTTCGGCAGCTCTCGGCGTCGGATGTGCCGTACGAGCGGGCGGTTGGGGCACTGGGACTGTGGCAGGCAAACTGCCCCACCGAAATTGGGAGGCTCCTGAGGGACCCGTACGACCGCGTCGCCAGACTTGCAATGATGCCTGCGGCGGAGCATTTGTCCGACGCGGATGTGCTGGAGCTCTTCAGGGAGTTGCCGCGCCGACGCCTTTCACAGCTGTGTTCGCGCTTGGAGCATAAGAAGAGACTCCCGGCGCTTGTGGACAACTACATCGCGACGCTGCCACCCCTTGTACGAGACAGTCCGGCACACGCCCTCTTGGCCTGGGGGTCCGAGGCCTACTTGGCCCAGCAGCCTCCTGTCGCCCTGCGACTTTTCACCCGAAAGGAGTGGTACACGGTGGTGCGACGGTGCCCGAATTTTGTGTTGGCGTTTGCTGAGATGGAGCTGAAACAGGACGTCCTCTCCGACGGCACGCATGCCCGGATACGTAAGTTTCTTTACGCCCTCCGGTCCTTCCACCCATCAGTCGGTCTAAAGCTGCTCATCTCTGCCGTGGCGCGCATGAAGGTGGCGAGGGAATGCATTGAGCTCTACTTCCGCGCGTTTCCCGAACCCGTGGCGGAGCTCATTGTGAAACATAAAATCAGGGCCGAGCTGTACGGGACTTGGGTGATGAAAAAGGTGCGCCCCGAAACCGTCATTGCTCTCTTTGATGCAAATGGGCTGTCCTACGATTCCTTGGAGGATCTGTTCTGGAGTGCACCGCCCAAGTTGCGAGCGTTGATTTACGCTACCCGAAGTGCGGAGATGAGAAAGGGGAGCGGGGAACTGAGTGATGGCGTGGTGCTCCGCCTCACGGACCCCGTGGAGCGCCAGCGCGAGGCGATGCGGGCGCTAACGGAGGTTGCAGAGCTACGCACCGACCCCGCTGCGTGGGCAGGCTACCTTGGAGCCCTGCCCTTCCCAGAGGCCCTCAAAATGGCTGGACAGCGCCTGCGAGACAAGGACGTGGCGGTCCGCGCTGCTGTCTGCGGCTCCATAGTGGAAACTGGCAGACTTTATCCCGAGTACCTGCAGGATGTTCTTGACTTCTGCATCGGGCGCGAAAAGGAGAGCGATGTTGTTCGCAGGGAAATGCTTGGGCAACTGGGTGAGTTTCCTCCCTCCCTCTGGAAGGAGGAGCACTACCCCAAACTGGTGAAAATTATCCGGACTGCATGTGACTCTCGGGACGTCTCGCGCGCCAGTTCTCGACGCATCATGGAGCTTGTTCTGAAGACGGCGCGCTTTAACACGGTGCTTCTCGACACGTTTCTTGTGGAACTCTGCAGCCGCGATCTTTACCCCGAACTGGATCGAGTTTGCCTACCAACGGCCACGGCGGAGCACCTCTGGAACTGTTTGTTGCCATTTATGCAGAAGCTGCGGGACGAAAAGTATGGTCCTCTGTATGGCCTGCTGTGCAATTTGAGCCCATGCTTGCGTCTCCTTGGAAAGAGAGCCGTGGATTTTTTAAAAAGCCTGCTGAAGTTTCCTGACAGTCTCACTGCACAGCTTGCTCTTTCACTCCTGTTTAAGTACTTTCGCCCTGTTGCGATGGAGCTACTGCCAGGGCTACTGAAGGAATCGTTGGACGTGATTGCCAACGAGCACGTCCGGTGTGCTGTGGGCGTGAACTTACAGGGCGAGTGGCTGGATCGGTATCTCGTTCCCGTCCGCACCAAAGGGCACTTTGGCTCTCACAAGGAGGAGTGGCTGGTGATGTTCAAAATGGGGTACTGCTGGACGGCGGCGAAGCAAGAGGTGTACGCCAAGTCTATTAGCCGCAGCTTATCAAACAAGTCCCTTGGCCGCTACTGTACGGTGGAACACCTTTCTGTGCTGAGAACGTTGTACAGCGCCAATGTGACGGAGGCTATTGCTCCTTACATCAAAGAAGACTACAATTTTGAGTATTTGCGGGACAATGCCATTGAACTTCTTGGTAAACTGGACGATGCGGCATCGTTTAAGGCGC